AGTTGTTCGTACTTGCGTAACGATGTCCACTGGAACGTGCGTATTGGCAACACCAGAAGCTGATAGCGCTAATGCTCGCGAGGATGCTGAGCCTGGATTCTGCTACATTAATTAACTTCAGCGCATGACATGTGCACCTAACCACGAATGACGTTAACCCGACGTGACGGGTGTATCAAAGGAGTACATATGTATGTTTATAAAATTGGGTAGGCAGCACTGCAACGACTACTGACATTTCACGAAGATTAGCGTCTATTTGGAAAGTAGTTGCGAGACCTGGCATAGCTCTGTGGTAGAATGCTTGTCTACCACGCACAATGCTTGGGTTAGATTCCTGCTGGGATTCTGAAATTTATTATTTGCATTTGCCGGGGGGGGGGGGGGGGGCAACGCTGTATACGTCAGGTTTTTTTTTTTAACACTGACATTCATTCTATGCCATCGTTGGGTCGACGCTACCGATGGCGGGTACTGCTTAACGCTCACGCGTTAAAATTGCCCGTGTGTGTTCACGTCGTTCCTGGGTAGACACTAAGTGTTAAATCACGCGTGGCACGTACCTGCATACCAGCGGCACATGCCCGCCCGTGGATATGTGCCACTGTCTGACTGCAAGTGTTTGTCGACGCACGCGACGGGATCGGGACATTATTTGTGTTTTGACCAGCCCATCATATTCGTCAAATCATCTTAATTAAGCCCATATTCACAAATCAACCTTGGCCTTACATCACGTTTTTCTAATCTTCCTGTACACTCTACATGCGCTATAAAGACACAAAAATGGTAACAGAGTGAAAGGTAAGGACAAGACTGGTTTATGTAGACTGGTCCAATTTGTTTATCATGCATTTCCGATGGAGGCGGAAATGTTGTAGGCCCGTGTACTCAGATTTGGGTGCACGTTAAAGAACCCCAGGTGGTCAAAATTTCCGGAGCCCTCCACTACGGCATCTCTCATAATCATATGGTGGTTTTGGGACGTTAAACCCCACAAATCAATCAGTCAATTTGTTTATCATGTGCAATAATGGTTTAAAACCAATAAGAAAAACTCTAGGAAAATATGAGGTTGGTTTGTGAATACGGGCCTTTGTGAATATCTAGCCGCTTACCCAAACGTAAGCGGCTAGATAGATAGATAGATAGATAGATAGATAGATAGATAGATAGATAGATAGATAGATAGATAGATAGATAGATAGATAGATAGATACGCTCAAAGTCGTCGAAGTTCACTAACAAAAGCTTCGCATTTAATACTCCACCACGGAGACATTAGGCCTCGATAACATTGGGGAAAAAGACAGGCGTAATGTTAGTGAAACATCAGTGGTGGTTGGAATGCTGATGATACAGTTTCATAAACATGGCACATGCACTTATATCTTACAGTTGTCACGTAAAGTTAACGGCAATCGTTAGCGGCAGCGGCCGACGCCTGGGGTGAGCACAACCCTTTGCTCACCACTACGGCCACAAATTCGGAGTTTTCTGCGTGGACGCCTCCGGCCTGTATCACGGAGGTTGGCACACGGCCGTGGTAGTCCACCGAAACACCGCAGTTAGTGCACGCACTCACCTTCCATGCACATAACATCACGCACGCGGAGGAGATCGACATCGCACCAGCCGCCGCAGATAAGGATCCTGGGGGTCATTGTCACCGACTCAAGGGGTGCCGGCTGGAATATTAAACAGGGCTGCGGTCAGTTTTTGGCCAACGAAATTCAGCAAAACACTACCTTGGAGCCCCCGTGCAACGAACGATCGTATGGGCTCCAGCTCAAACGGGCCTCGTTGGTAATGAGACCGCCAATGCCCCAGCCCGCGCGCTCATTCTCCGGGCACCGTCCTCATCCCGTACCAATCCGGATTTCGACTCGAAACCAATGCCGTTTATACCTTTAAGGAGATAACAAAATATAACCAATCCAGCCATCACATCTGTCTGAAACCCCGTAAGACCCCTATAAAGACGGAGGAGGGAATCATCGTTCACCTTTACACCGAAACTCTATTGTGCCAGGCAATAGTTAAACACTTGAACCCCCTTGCACAGGGAAGTACCCACACTGTGAGAAAAATTTCTGTGACATTTTCCAGATGGTGTAAGCGTGCCAAAAAAAAAAAAAAAAGAACGCCAAACCTCACACCTTTACCCAACTTTTTCCAGGAGGACTGCAGGCATTCCTGCTCGGTCTCTCTGACCTGACGGCCCAACGGGCTTTGGTTGAGCATGCCCGTGGCGCGGCCGACGCCAGGGTTCCCGTAAGGGGAGCCCATTTGCGGAAATGGCGGGTGTGGGGAGCTTGCTCTGTCATTAGTGCATATTGCAAATGTCTTGGAGAAAAAAAGAGAGCGGTTGCTCGGGTCTTTACGTTATCTCGAAATGAAATAACAACGGCTGTTGAAAAAAAAAAAGCGAATGTTGTGGAAACACGGGGAAAATAAATGTATACTTATTGTCTATTCACTGGTGTTGGTTAGTGAATCGAGAGATTTGCTTGAATTATACTATTTCTAGCATACATTATCTTGTTGCCACCAGGCATGCCGTTTTATTTTGGTGTCCGGTGCTTGTTACTTTTGAACTCGGAAGTAGTGGAGTTTTCCCTAACTAAAAGCTGTAATTATATCATTATAACTAGTTATGTACTGTGTAAACCCCTCCCTCTGTAATGTCGTAATTGCGTTGAAGCTGCTGTAATAAAATAAATAAATAAATAAAACATAAATAATAAATAAATAAATAAATAAATAAATAAATAAATAAATAAATAAATAAATAAATAAATAAATAAATAAATAAATAAATAAATAAATAAATAAATAAATAAATAATAAATAAATAAATAAATAATAAATAAATAAATAATAAATAAACAAATAAATCAGCTGCAAGTTCCCGCCCATCCAACTTTACCAAGAGCATTTTGCTGCCTTTAGGACATTGTACAATATCAGCATACCCAAAACAAAAATACGTATTACAGTATCTGTACTGCTGTATGTGCATTCCACAATGCTTTTGCAAAATTTTCACAAAATATTTCCAAAATACACCGCTACGTCAAAGGTCAATGTATACCTCATATCTGTATTTTAGTCTTCCAACGCTCGTATTTTCATATGCACATTGAAGAATAATTTTCCGAGTAGCTCTGCCCAATACTCTATGACCCCGGGACGACATTACTTATTAAAATAAGAGGAAAGAGGCAAAGATGTTGGTCCTTGCGAATTAATTATAAATTCTAGGCCTCACACTGCACTATAATTTTGGCGCACATGCTCTCGGCAGGCTCATCTACGGATCGGCAGCAATTTTTGACCATGCTGAAAATCTGTTGCAGTCTCTTCAATGCGTAAAATCTTTGACAGAGGATGAGAAAGTGTTCTTTGGTATTCTACACATAAGGAACAAGCAGGGAGCATGACAGACCAGATCTGTGCATTTGAAAATTCAATTATAGTATTTGACAGCATAGCCTAGCAATTACAACTTTAAAGGGCCAGTAAACAGCCCTGAGGTCCAAAATTTTTAAAAAATACATATAGGTGCAGTGTTTATGTTTGTGAACATGCTGCCGCAAGAATTTTGTGAATACGTGCTATATTAAAAAAGTTACAGGGGTTAGAACATCGGTCTAAGCTGGTTTCAAATTTTCGCGCGGCCTCGGTGCCCTTCTGCCTTCCATGAAGGGGAGAGTGTAGCCCATCGTCGTGACTCCGCCCACTTTGGCAACGTGACACCACGTCAGCGATGGCGTCATCGGCGAACTCCATCAGTCGCAACGCACTTCCGCTTGCTGCGAAGCGTGGTTGTTTTTTTACCGTTTGTCGCACCAGTTGCGGGTCAACCGTGTAAGCGTCAGGTGCGAAGCGTCGACCACAAACGAGTCCCCGGTGTACGTCGCTGTATGGCCGCTTCGCTTCAGCCATGCAGCGCGTGAGGCACCCGGTGCTGACACTTCTACGCTGCCCCAGTCGCTCGATTTGCAGCCGACGACAGAGCAACGCTTTTTAACCGTGTCGCTCATGTGAAGGGCGAAGTACGTTCGTACGTGCACACAGGCGCTGTAGTTGAGCGAGGAGTGTACAACTGCACGCGACAACTTTGAGGCTGGACAAGAAACAAAGGGCAGATGGGAAGAGGAACTGACATTGACTTCACTACTGTTTTTTCATACCTGACCAATCGGCGAGCTGCGCGCTACGCCACGTCGCCGATCACCGAGTTGACGTCACTGCGCGTGCAAGGGGGGTTGGTAAGGCGTAGGAAAGATGCGTTGGAATTGTTTTTTGAAATAGAGGCTCTGCGTGGTGCGCAGCACTGTAATATTCAGAAAACGTGATCGCTGCGGTCTAATCTACGAATTGCCGAGCTTGTATGGAAGGTGTAAAAAAAAAAAAAAAAGTCGGAGCCTGTTTACTGGCCCTTTAACACATCTACAATGGCACGATGTAGTTTTCTGGAGAATCAAGAGGAGATTAAAATCCAGGCGATTGCTTACACAGTGTACAAAAATGAATTATTTCACAGCTTTATGTGTCGTTGTTTAATGAGGAAGGGGGCAAGGGGACAAAAGATTGAAAGATAGGCTGCTTTTGTAGGAGAAACCGTATATTGAAGAATCTGGCATCTTTATTCACTTGACAAATTTAGCCGCAAACTGCATGCGTAACTGAATGTGTGCAGACGCATTTATAAATATCGCATCGGTGCACATTCAGTTGAGCCCGAATCGGCATTAACTTTTATGTTTTATGTTTTTAGCGGTATTAACCAAATTATTGCCAACCACACACAGAGGGGGTCAGTCGATGCAGCAGGTTACTTATCATTGCAATCTTATTCAGAGCAGTGATTCGGTACTTCACATGGCAAATTGAACTCTGCACCCGTCCGTCGGCCTCCGGTCTCTTGCGCACGGCTCGATCCCGTGCAATCCTTGTCCAAGCTGGGAAATACAAGTGTCGCCCCACGGCCAGCGATGTCAACATGCGGATCGTATGGGCCCTCCAGACCTCAGACACAGAGAGCCGATGTCAACTACTTGCGCGATATCTTCTGCAAAGTCGACAAGGACCGCAGCGGACGTGTGGACGCAGTCGAGTTGCAGCAGTGTCTGTCCAATGGCACCTGGGAGCCCTTCGACCCTGTAACGGTGCGCATGATGGTCAACATCTTCGACCGCAGCCGCACGGGCACGCTGACCTTCGACGACTTCGTGTCACTTTGGAACTACATCAAAGACTGGCTACGGTGTTTCCAGGACTTTGACAAGGACCGGTCAGGTTCCATCGACATAAACGAGCTTCGCGACGCGCTCAGGAGCTTCGGATACCGCCTGAGTGATGAAGCTGCGGATTTTCTGCTCATGAAATACGACCGTGATAGGAAAGGAGCCATAAATTTCGATGACTACATCCTCTGTCGCATTACCCTTGAGACGTTCACCTGTTCCTTCAAGAGTTACGACACCGACCAGGACGGCTACATCACGATAAGCTACGAGAACTTCTTGAAGCTTGGACTGAGCATTTTTTTGTCGTGAACAAGGTCACTTCTCGTGGTCAGCTCAAAATCTCTATCGGTCTTGTAAGAAATTGCTGGTGTCTGGAAAAGAAATGTGAGGCCAAGCAGGGTGTCGTAACGTTATGGCGTTGCTGCTGCGACATGTTCACATGTTCTCGCCTATCAGAACTCTTCATTTACTTCAAGTAAAGTCTTAACAAGGATTGAAATTTTGTAAGTGTTATCACTAACTCATTTTTATCGTTCTGGCAGAAGTGTGGACACTGCGCTTGTTGTAAAATAAAAATTGTCAGTATTACCATTTATACCAGCATGTATTTTCCTCTGTATCTATACCAGCATGTATCTTACTCTGGAATAACCTAACTAACACTCAAGTTCCTCAACCTTCACTGTATTCATTTGCTGCAAATGTCTCTTAATTACTTTCCAATTAGCAAGGCGATCTCGTGCAAATATGAGTTTTTGTCATTTTTATGTAGTTGATGTTCCGTATGCGTGCTCTGTGTGTACCTGCACTGTATTTTTTTTTCGAAGGAATGTTTGCTACCCTTTGTTGTATTGCTGCCTTTTTTTTCCCACGACGATGTATGTCCACCCCGCTAAAATACCCTACGGGGATATCAGTATCTCTAAATAATTAAATAATCTTGGGAGGAATTCGCACATTTTGAGTGCAGATGCTCAATCCTTTACGAAGTGACACGTACTTGGTTTAGTATCTGCACGTTAAAGAACCCCAGGTGGTCGAAATTTCCGGAGCCCTTCACTACAGCGTCTCTCATAATCATATGGTGGTTTTGGGACGTTAAAACCCACAAATCAATCAATCAATCAATCAATCAATCAATCAATCAATCAATCAATCATTGGTTTAGTATCTTAATATGCTGGACATGTTCTTGATTTGTAACATATCCAGGCCATACAAGTAATTAAAATCGCCTTCCTAGTCCTGCTTGGGCCTATTGCAGGGCAAGGGTCTCTCCCTTGTGTCGCTGATCCTGTTGCGTGATTGTTGTGGTGAGCTTATCCCCACCAACTTTCTAGTCTCATCTGCTCACCTAGCTGGACAGCACAGGCAGCCATGTGCAATCACCGCTAAAAGTTCAAGCACAGCGAAACAAAATAAAAACATGAATATCCCCTTTGGATTCCAAGCATTATCCCTGGAAGTCAGGTATTCTACCACAGAGCCATGCCACGTCTTGAAACTGCTTTGAGAAATGACCCTGAATTCTGTGGACATCTTGCCACGATAAAAAATGCCATACAGAGTAATTTTTCGTGTCACGAGCGTTCAAATGATCTGAACCCCTCGTCATTAGATAAGTTGGGGAAGTTGGCGCATTTAAAAGGTTTCAGAGTAGAGGCACTTGAGTGCCCAGAAAGAATGGTGTCCTGAAAATGGTACACGGTGTATATACCTGTAAAGAGGGAAAAATTACGGAAACGTTCACGCAACTGAATAGAGATATTAGTGGACGTAACTGAAACGTTACACTGCAAGTATAGTGAACGTGCTCGGCGTATGGCGAGGGCTGTGTGTTAAGAGTTGTAAAATATCACACTAGAACAAGTTCAGAGTTTGACTACCGTTTCCTCCTCAACGTTCCCGACGCTTCTTAGTTTCGAGTGGATGAGCACCGTGCATCTACCGAAAGTATATAGCCGGCGGTTCTAGGAAAATCGCGGCAACTACCAGGTCCCTCTGGTGGCAGAGCTATATATAGGTACTTTGAAATTGTACCGCGATATGATACAAGTTACCAAAGCCAAAAGTATTTGAGGTACAAATAGAAAGTGCCACACACTGATTATATCTAATACGATATATTTTAATTGTATTTTCAGATACTTCGCAAGCTTGCCATTGTGTATGTATATATAATGCAGCCCGAAAATTTATTACCTGTGGCCTCTTTTGTTTTACTGGAATCATATGTCTGTAAGTAAAACAAAAACTGCAAATTTGTTGGTTTAGCTGGTTAACCTGACAAGTCTTCGTACAATTCACTACTAGCGCTTTTTGCTTATCGCGTTTGCTATTGGCGAAAGTCGCGTCCGCTTGCCCACCAGCTAGCGGGTCGCCATCTAATAACAGAAATTGTATTATAATGACATGGCTCTGCAAAAAAAAAAAAAACTTTATTGTTCAAATACCACTGTTAAGTTATACGGTGCCCCATAACGTATTACAGTTTTTGTAATACCAGACGAGAGGACTGGGATATGTTAGCAAAAACGCTTGTAGTGGTAGCGGTTCACTTCGCGCCGTATCGAGTTTACACAAGGGCATGAGGCTGCAATGACGTTTTGCATTCTGCTTATTTGCTATACAGTAAAGCGTTATTTAAACAAATACGCACACTGTACGAACTTTTAACAATTTTCCTCCAATGAAGGAACAAGTAGAGCCCAGAATCGCCTTGACGAGTTGTGTTACTGCAAAAAGCGCTGCGGGACACCGCCACTTATCACACGATATTACTACTTAAAGTTCGTGGTACTGGGTGATTAACAAAAGTTCGTGCATTTAGGAAAGCTTGACAAAGGCAAGAAAAAACATTTGAGCAAAACAGAAAAGTTATTCTGTATATCAAACGCATTGAACAAGTATAAAAACACGAAACAGGCGGCACACCCAAAAGCTAGCAATAACTGTTGCATTTTACGCTTCAAATCCCCGATATTATAATGAGAGATGCCGTAGTAGAGGGCTTCAAAAATTTTTGACCACATGGGGTTGTATATTGTAAATAGTATGCGCAGGTTTCCAGCATTTGGTTGCAAACAAAATGCGGCTGTCGCGAACTACAGGCTAGCAGTCAAACACCTTAATCACTGCACCACCGTGGCGAGTAACCTCTATCTAGACAGGTGTGCAATTTAGCATTTAAGTTAAGACCACACAAAACTTCATTGCTCATTATATATATATATATATATATATATATATATATATATATATATATATATATATATATATATATATATATATATATATATATATATATATATATATATATTGTATGACGACTCGGTTGTACCGAGGTTTATTGGTCGTGAACTCGGGGACGAACAAGCGCAACGGACCCGAACAAGAAGCGCACGTTCCAAGAAGATCATGATTGTCAGCCAGAGCATATGATGATGATTGACTGCTGTTCAGATGAGGATGAAGCGCATAATAGATGCCTACACTGATTCCCCCCCCCCCCCCCCCCCCCGTGGAAGCGGCCAGCCTGGCCGCTGCGGGCGGGTAGTCAAGGTGACGAGGAACGTCGTGTGAAAAGCTTCATGCGGGAAACGTGTACGATTTCGGTGCTGCGGTAACGACGGTCAGTCGGCACGACAAGAGGCGTCACACGATAGTTGACAGGTGAAGTCTGCTCTAAAACAACATATGGACCGATGAATCGAGGCTGGAACTTGTCGCAGAGACCAGGTGTGCGAATTGGTGTCAATAGCAGCACCTCGTCACCCAGTCGGAATGATACCACACGATGAGAGGTGTCGTAGACGGCCTTCCTTGCTTGTTGCGTAGCTTCCGTGTTCATACGAGCGCGCTGGCGGCACTGGGCAAGGCGAGAAATATATTCTTCGCAAGAAGATGGTGATGGAGGGTCATTGCTGGTGAAGAAGGAAACATCGATAAAGAAAGTAGGTGAACGTCCGTAAACGAGATAAAATGGTGAGTAGCTGGTTGTGCGCTGAACAGCGGTGTTGTAGGCGAAAGTGAGGAACGGTAGAAGTTTATCCCAGTTTCTGTGATCCGGTTGAATGTGTACGGCGATCATGTCGGCAAGGGTTCGACGAAATCTCTTGGTCAGACCGTTTGTTTGAGGATGGTAGCTAGACGCCGTCTTGTGTGTGGTACCAGAAACGCGAAGAACTTCACCTAAAGGCTGTGATAAGAACACCTTTCCACGGTCACTTAGAAGTACACGAGGAGCACCATGACGTAGTATTATGGCCTGAAGGACGAAGTCAGCAACTTCCGATGCTGAACCAGTAGCTACTGAAGTTGTCTCGGCGTAGCGTGTCATATGGGTCACGCTGGTGGTTTACGAAGTAAAGAGGAGGGGCTTGCGGCGCAGTGACGGCTTGCGGCGCAGAGACGGGAGCAGAAAGGGCATCCACCCACTCACTCTGAGACATGTTGGCGGACTGAGGGTCCAAGCGGCGGCCTGAACGGAGCTCCAGCGAGTACGCGTTGTAAGTAGAGGTACTGGGAACGTCAATCCACCTCCACCACGTATGACGACTCGGTTGTAGCGAGGTTTATTGGCCGTGAACTCGGGAACGAACAAGCGCAACGGACCCGACAAAGAAGCGCTCGTGTCAAGCAGATGATGATTGTCAGCCAGAACATATGATGATGATTGACTGTTGTTCAGATGAGGATGAAGCGCATAATAGATGCCTACAATATATATATATATATATATATATATATATATATATATATATAGGTATAGGTATAGGAGAGAGAAGGGAAAGGCAGTGTGAGCTTTCAAATGGCAAGCTTGGACGTTTTTGGCCTGTGTTCTCATCGGCCTGTTTCTTTTTTTTTTTCGCCGCCACTTCACGTTTGCGTGCACGCCACCCTTTTATAGGCTATACATTGCGACTGGCTGGAGAGATCGAGACTTCTCGAAGCTGCCCCGAACTCATGCGCTGGACTGAGAGGCGGTAGAAGTGCGAGTTGTCATGGGAGCTGAGTCAGCTCATCCCAAAAAGGTGAAGACAGCCGAAACGCACGGGAATGGTACATGACGCCACATCCGAAGCGAGGCATGCGGAACTGGCAGCTGCCGCCACAGCCAGAGCAGCAACCACTGCAAGCTTCATTCCTGGCAATTTCCATACGGTGAATCAATCACCACTCTTGGGCGTGCAAGGAGAGGCAGGTGCCTCACCGTCACCTTTGAGGGAACTATTGTACCAGCAGAGGTGTTCCTCCTCAAGCTGTGCAGGTCAGTGTGTCCAAGCCTGCCTGCCTGCCTCGGTCCCTGC